ATGGGCCCATTAAGCTTTTATTTAATGCCCTTCTTAAGGGAATGTGGGGGCAGGTGGCCTGATCCCCTTTTGCCCTCTTTTATTTTCATTCATGGGTCATCTGGGCAGTGCTGACCCTGCATGAACTGCGGCCGACCTTGTGGGGGGGGCAGTCTCGAGCTTCACACTCGCGCACGCGTCGTTTTGATTGCTGTCACGGATTTTTATAAAATTAAATTTCCTCTTGTGGAGACTGAAAAAATGGTGCCCACGGCATCAAAATAACAGGTTTTTATCACATTGTATGGAGATTTGGTCCCCACCATGTTATCTATGTCTGGCCCACACACGCACACTCTGCATTGTCCTGTGTTCATGCTGCCTGAGGTGTGGTGTCTAAAGAAGGAGGCTGATCTTTGTGGCATTTGGGTTTGAGTGAATAAATAATGTTTTTGCCCCACCCCCATTATTTTGCCAGTGAGAGGAAGTGAATATGCCTGTTTGCTTACCATGTGTTCTCGCTCCAGGCTGAATATCTGGAAGCAGCAATCAAATTAAATCACCAAATATGGGGGGGGGGGTATTCCTTTAAAACACTGAATTCTGGGTGTATGTCACGTGCCCCTTCAGGCTTGTGTGTTGTGCAGTTTGCTCTCTATTTTCTCAGCTTGTCAGTAAATGTTTCACATTTCGTTAAGGTTTTGCTGTACATTTTGAGCAAAGCTGCCGGTTTTGCGGTTAGAGAACACTGTAAAAGAGTTAGGGTCACATTGGTTAGTTTTGGTTAATCATTGAACTATCGATCTGTATGTGTGTCTTTTTGGAGGGCGTTTCTGTCCTCAGGTGCAATGAACTTTCCATTATAGCCCATCTGAGATTTCTATTGACTTAGCAGAAAGAAGCTCTAGCAGTATTTGATAGTCCTCTCTTACTGTCCACATATCAGTTGTATCAGTTTGTGTTATCAATTCATCCTTATTCACTAATCTCTCTCCCCCCCTCCCCCCGGCAGACCTCAGGAATGGAGGAGACCATCTGGGAGCAGTACACTGTGACATTACAGCGGGTGAGTTGTCACTCCTGGACAGCTCTCCTGTGAGCCTGGTGCCCTCCACCATCCCCTGCAATCGTTCTCTATTGCTCAGCCCACTTACTGTACACAGAGAACTTACCTTGAGAAGATCAGCGAAGATACACTTATGTGCCGATGAAGCTAATCTCTTAACCGCCAAAAGATGTTTTTCAGGAAATTATTTCGGGTATTGTTTTTTTTTTGTCACATATAGACAGTCCCCAGTCCGACGTACGGACAGTTCATACTTAAACGGGCTACCGTAAAACCTGTGGCCTGTACTACGAAGGAGGGTTACTGGCTTATTCAGGTAACTTGTTGGATTTAAGGTACCACTCCTTAAATGGACTTCATATTCGTTTACTTACATTTTGCCCAGACTACCTTAAATCCGACAAGTTACCCCGATAAGCCAGTAACCCCACTTCGTAGTACAGGCCCCAGTTATTAGAAATTTGAAAAGTCTGTCCAGCCAAAAAAGGAAAGGATTGACCAGAAAATCCAGCACACGTCTTTTTTTTTGATGTTGGCAGGTCCTGCTTTTGTCATCTACCAATCCGCAGTCAGCTGACCCATGGAAAAGAAAACTGTGCTGTAGAATGCTGGTTAAATAGCCTAAGACGAAAAGGAAATGGATGCTATGTTGTAATCAAACGATCACAACAAATGGCTAATTAAATAGAATTAGAAACATCAGTGTTGTGAGTGGAAGACACAACAATGATGAGAGACTGGAGGTAAAGTGTCTCCTGAAATGATCCCTTTATCGTTGCCTGACAGACTCAATGAAGTTGTGCTGAGGTGACTTTAAATTAAGAGACTGGAAACCAGTGGTCCTTAAAATGACCTATTAATGTTGGCCTACAATTACAAGACGACAAATGTGATTTAATCATATATGCCGGATTACCCATTTGCAGCATAATTTCCCTGTGGAGACAATTATTGTTCTTATCAGATGGGTTACAAAAAGAGAATGCCACTCGAAAGAATCTGAAGTCTCTCATCGTCACGCTGGATTTCACACTTATTCCTAAAGTTGAGATAAGGGGATAAAAAGAGCCGTTAATATTATTTCAATTTTATTATTTATTAAATTGGACTGAAATAATGGAAAGTGATTCACATGAAAATGAGAAATTGAGAATCTGGTCACATGCTTAGAAATGGGAGATGTGGGACTCTAAAGCTGACGGAGTAATTTTGTCATTAGCTACTTTAACCATTGCCCAGCTATTCCCAGCCATTCCCAGTGGGGGAAACCGGGCATTGATTAACCGCGCCTGGCAGTGCCCCCTGCTGCAGACTTTGAAGCCACATCTCTCTCATCACCGCACACTGTGTAAGAGCAAGCGGCGCTCGTCTGTGCTGCATCACGCTGGCTTTCGAAAGTATTATTCCAGCAGTGTTGTCGCATTTGAGAAGGAAGAGCAAGGCTGTTAGACCAGAGTAACTGCCGTGGCAGCCATCTGGAAGGGGAGCGTAAAAGCAGTCAGTGTATAGGATGTGATTAAGTGCAGATGTGGGGGTGGAGTGCGGGGGGGGGAGTCAGAGGGCACCCCAGGCCTCCACCGCGAGGGGCGTAGCCGGCTCATCCTGACAGGAGGCATGGCGGAGATCCATGGACCTCAGGTCTGCCCGGAGTGAGACCTGCCACCCCCGCTCAGCGTCACATCAGCACCGGGGGGCTACTGCTCACTGTCTCCAGAGCGAAAGATCACAGCAGAATGTGAGCACAGACGCAGAAATCATTAAAATGCATGCTGATAATCAGCAGCCCTGCCGATGGAAAATAATCACGTAGGATAGTGGTTAGTGGTCTCCTGTTCTGTTTTTAAACCTTAAAAATGTTGTTTTTAATCACCCTCGCTTGTTGGAGCTTCTGTGAAATCCACGAAGAACAAAAACTACTGGTAAACATGTAACTGTTGGAGCTCTGGGTTCATGGCCTTCAGAGCAGAAACGTGAGGGATGTTCTGTGACTTACCTGCTAATTTCTCGTTTTTATATATGGTGCTATAAATCGAGGGCCCGTGCATCTTAATGGCACAGAGGTGTAAGTGGGCTTCGTCTCCAAGATTGTGTTCCTGCTGGTTTCATGGGTGCCTTGGGTGCGGCATCAGTGTGAAGGAATCATTCTTAATTCCGGCCTCTGCGTCCCTCTGTGATGTACGGCTTCATCACGGAGCCTCCCGTCGAAGCCGGTGGAAGCCCTAAGTGATTTTTTCCTCTTTGTCTTCCTCTGCTTCCTTCGTTGCCTGCATGCAGGACTCCAAGATGGGGTTTGGCATCGCGGTGACGGGCGGGCGGGACAACCCCAACGTGGAGAGTGGGGAGACGTCCATCATCGTGTCAGATGTTCTCCCAGGAGGCCCAGCTGACGGACAGCTCTAGTACACGCTACACTTCTGCTATTGCGCCTGTCAATCTTCCACTCTGCCCATATCTGTCAAATGACACCTGTCTAGCCACAGTATAGTAACTTAGGCACCATAAATGGGCAGAGGTAATTTACAGTTGCTAGGATACCAGTAGATTCTTTTTTTAAAACATCTCCTGACCTAAAATTAGAAGGCTGAGTTATTTTATTTATAACTATTCCTAGACATCAGTTGTTACCCGGTGATCAAAAAGATGAACGTAATGACTGTAGCAACTTAATTATTCAGTGCATTCTTCTTTGTACTTAATGATGGGTCGTCATGGCAGCGTCTTCTGTTTTCCGAACGTCACTGTTATTTCCCCACAGCGAAAATGACCGTGTTATTTTGGTCAACACCATCCCCATGGATAATGTGCCTCACTCATTTGCTGTGCAGCAACTGAGAAAATGTGGGAAAGTAGCCAAAATTGTGAGTGTTTCTGCTCTTGTTCTCCGGAGAATATCTCCCTCTTTTGTGGAAAATATTTAATATAAAATGTAAGTTTTAACCAGCTTGCATTATGTTTAGCACAATATCGTAAATTGCTAGTTTTTTAGCTAAACTTGCATAGCTTACAAAGATTACATTTCGTTTATAATGATTCAAACTGGCGTTTACAACAAATGTAATACTGAAACAAGATCTTGCAAACAAAAATTGTTCTTTTTCAAAGGCTTGTTTCGGTCTCGTTCAGTAAATTGCTCATTCATGTCTACTCTAAAGATCTATTCATTCCTGTAGAGGATTTTTTGGGTTAGAATGTATTTGTTCAATAACATGATTAGTTTGGTAAGGGTTAAAGTTAGTTTTTAATATTTTAGTGATATTTATATTTTAATATCATTTTAATATTTATATTTTTATATCTAATAGCAGATAAATATTTGTTTGGGTTCTATTAATATAAATAAATGCATAATATTGGAGGGTAATATGACGCTATTCAGCTTGTGTGTGTGAATAATTTCTTTAAAATCAGTTATTATCTCTCTCATTTGGTGTCCTAGCTTAAATTTACAATTTACCATTGCTAATCTCCTGAGAGACAGCATTTCCAGACCTAAAATGAGTGGATTAACACTTTTTATTATTTATAATTGGGCTTGGGCATTAATAATTCACTCAGTCATTGGCAGGATGCAGTGATGCGTAATCCTAGCTCTTCCTGTGTGTGCTCTGTAAAGACAGTGAAGAGGCCCCGCAAGGTTCCCGTCCAGACCATAAAGACGCCCCCCTCCCCCGAAGCGCACGACTGGCCGTCCGACTACGAGGAGTACGAGCGGCACAGCAGCCTCAGCAGCCGCAAACCCAGCTGGGCCGAGGGGAACGGGGGCCTGGGCTACCCCCGCAAACGGGACCAAAGCTTGGAGCAGGAGCGGGGGAGGGGCGCGTACCTGGAACCCGATTACCGAACCCGCGGATATGGCCGCGACCAGGAGTACGGCCGGGGCAGGAGTGTGGAGCGCGACGAGCGGGACTACCGGAGGGACGGCAGCAGGGGGCGCACTCTGAGCCGCGAGCTTAGCCCTGAGCGCCGTTACCCGAAGGATCACAGCAGGGGGCGCAGCGTCGACCGCGATCGCGACCTCAGTAGTCCCACCCAGACCTACAACAACCGCGATCTCAGCTACGAGCGCCGGAGAATTGAGCCGCGCACGGATGAGCGGATGCTGCGGAGCCGCAGCAGGGAGCAGCTGCCGGACCGCTCCCCATCCCCCGACCCGCGCTCCCACGACGGCGACCGGGAGCCCCTGGAGAAGCCCATCAACGTGCTCCTAGTGAAGAACCGGCCCAACGAAGGTAGGACTGCTGGACTTCAGCTAGAAAGGGCTAGAAATGTTGTACCTGCATAATTGTGGCATGTAAGATCTCACCCACCAGTATTACAGAAGCTCGGGTTTAATTATATAGCACTTTATTTATTTATGACAGCTCAGCCACACTTGGGACCTGTTCTTTTTTCCTGTGAAATTCTGCCTAAATCAACAGGGCCAGTCTTATGTCTTTACTAAATAAATTGTACCAAAGTAAAAGACTGTCTTTTTTTTTTGATCGCAAGGTTCACTGGAATATTCATGGGTTTATGTTCGACTCACCCCATTCTTGTGAGTTCTTGCAGTGACTGACTGGTTTCACTTTGTATTTCGGACTCGCAATGCGATTATAAATCAATGCAGACGAACAATGTGATAACAGCATGTGACTGGGGGGGGGGGGGGCACGATGTTGTGTTTTTATGGAGATCCTGGGCCTGGAGCTCCAGGGATGGAGGCTGCATCCCAGCGGCTTGTGGCCAGTGATGTTACCTCTGACCTTCCTGGGGGTCTGTATCTGGGTGCTGGTGATCCTTCCTGCTTGACCAGTCCCTGTGTCTTTACCGTCTGCTTTCTGGTTCCAGAGTACGGCCTTCGCCTGGGCAGTCAGATCTTCATCAAAGAGATGACCAGCACAGGCCTGGCAGCCAAGGATGGGAGCCTCCGGGAAGGCGACATTATTCTCAAGGTACCCAGAGCCTTACTGTGACTTCCAGCACCAACGCATAAACGGGCGTAGCTGTGTGGCCGTATGTATATACTCTCACACATTCTCACAGTGGCATCTGATTCTTGATCCCTGAAACCCTGTTAGTTTGGAGGTGTAAACTACATAAATAAATTATACTGAACATTCCCTGTAATGTTCAGTATAACCTAGTGTTTATTTTAAAAAAATGTGGTAACACTTTACTTGAAGGAGCACAAGTATCCTGCTAACTCAGGTACTACTCAAGTACAAATCATGAACAAATTTAATAACTGTATGAAATACATAAATTGATGAAGTCAGTATGTAACTAACACTTAGTTTCTGGTTAATTGACACATTAAGTAAGAGTGTACTACAACGTTATTTGTGCCCCCTCAAGTAAAGTGTCACCAAAATGACTTTAATAAGGCTGAAAAATATGGGGATCACCACTTGAAATTGCTAAAAAAAAAATCGTAGAAGTGCAGGTACCTACATAACGCCATAGGCTGGTTCACTGTTCGGCTGTTAGGATCTTGTTGGGTTCATGTGTTGATGTCCAGTGTAGCAGGATAAATGACACTCTGGGCAAGGACCTTGTCTGCATGAGGTTGCGCTGCTGGTTCTTGCTCCTTCTCCCTCTAAGGATGCATTCTGACATGTTCAGCTACTACTAACAGCATAAAATCTGTATCCTTTATGTATTTGTCTAATGCCACAAAAGAAAAGCCTTGCTTCCTGGAACATGTCTTGGAAGAAATAATTTTGCTAATTTACAACAGTATAATAATCGTTTTATGGGCCTGAGATCTGTGTCCTTGTCCTATTGGCTGACAGGTGTGATGCACCACGTCGCCCAGGTTTGAATGATGGCCAGACCATGTCAGTAATAATCTCTGGGGTTACCGTCGGTTACACAGCACCCACTTCTGCGTCTCGTTTGCGTTTT